CGGGGACGAGATGGTCATATAAGAGTAGTAGATGTACGAACACAAACTGGCCTACTAACTCGACCACTAGTTAAATTGTGTTTTCTTCCAAATACTGAAGAACCGATCACCGAAAACAAGCGAAGGCAAACGTATACATAAAATCAAGCAATAATTAATTAAAAATACACCGTTTTACAATCCTAAACTAAAACCAATGAGCGATAACAATTGAACCGTAAAAAATATGTATAGTTTATGATGATATATGTATCTATCTCTAAAACAAATACCCAATTACATAATTCAATCCAGGAACCATACAATGTTTTAATATAGTATATTTCTATTCCAATAGAAATGGACATAGAAGACATCCAACTTACTCCCAAGACTGTGAAGTCCGTTATTGCTGCACCTAGAGCATCAGCTACACCCATCGCCGCACCAAGGGCACGAAGAGTCTTGAGTCCGCCAAGGCAATCATCTGTTGCAACACCTAGGGATACATATGAAGATCCATTTGAAGAAAATATGCCTCCACGATGCAGCTTATGCCATCGACCCCACGTTCTGAAGAGGTGCACTATCTTCAAAAGCATGAAGCCAGCTCAACGCCAGCAGATCGCCCGTGCACACGGCCATTGCATGAATTGCTTGGCAGACTCCCACACTACATTCGCATGCCCAACCGACGAGTCATGCCAATACTGTCAACGCCCTCATCATACACTGTTTCATCGATTCCCTCGCCGAGTCAATCCGCCAGTAATCCACACAAATAACAGACACAGACAACACGAGGATCCTGTCCAGCGCCGAAGAGGGCACCATTCCCGGCGCATCAGGGGAGCGCACTCACGACCACATGCGCCAAACTACGGTCATCGTAATCCACAACGCAAACCAACAGGACTGAACGCCGTAGTGAGCACTCTGCAACGGTTGCAAATACTTCTAGGCGATTAATCCGCCTAGGGGGGCCGGGATGTTTATGCGACATCCGGTCGTGCGATATTTTGCTACGCTATACATATCATCCTCGCAGCACTCATCGCACAAAATCCACACACCACCCAATACAACACAACATGTCATCCACACAACCACAGCTACACATCATACTAGCCACACTACACACCCACACATCGCTTTTCTCACCACCCACAATCGATACAAAAGGATTGCTCACATCGGAATGAGCTTCTTTTTCGCTCTTACCCGTAAGGTTTTCGCCATCGGTACGATCGTCGACACTAAACGTTCAACTTCATTTTCAAATTGTTAACTAAKTTTTGTATAAAGAAGTGTAAAAATAAAATAMTTATTGAAAAAAAAGGGTGAAATAAAAGAATACAAACAAAGTGAACAGTGAAATACTTCTTTTCTTTATTTCCATAAAATTGTGCGAATTATACATTCCATTGCGAAAGCGCAAAGTGCGAGTGCAGCAAGTGAGTATACCACCGACACCAGGGTGAACAAAAGATTTACAATTAAACATGAGCTGCTCCCATATGGCTAGACGCTTAATTCTACCATCCACTGGGAAAAACTGTACCGCTTGAAGCTGGCGATAGACCAGAACCGTCCCGAATTGGCCAACAGGAAGGGTGTAGTGTTTCACCAAGACAACGCCAGACCACACACTTCGTTGATGACTCCTTAGAAACGACGTGGCGACACCCACATTAAATAATTCTTTAAAACTGAATCAATTCATGCATTCTTATCCTAACTGAAAGCATTGATAAATTTTTTTTTGGAGGTCTTCCCCTTCATCTGCTTCCCCCGGCGGGTACTGCATCGAATACTTTCAGAGCTGGAGTGTTTTCGTAAATTCGGATAACATGATCTAGCCAGCGTAGCCGCTGTCTTATAACACCGCACACGTCTTGCTCCATCCACCACAATCTCCAGACCTCAACCCAATTGAGCATTTGTGGGAGGACTTCGAAAGGCGCGTGAGAAGCGGGCAGTTTGCAACAAGCTGGAGTTGCAGCAAGCTTTGTTAGAGGAATGGCACAAAATAACTTAGCAAACAACCCAAAAACTACTATATCCCATGCCAAGGCGTCTGGAAGCTGTAATTAAGCAAAATGGACTACCCACCAAATATTAATTAAATTGCATAATTCTTTATAATTTACTGAGTGTGCCAATACTTTTGTGTCGTAGAAATTGATTATTTTTTATGAATATTAATATGAAAAAGTATAATTAAAGTATAATTAAAAATGAATTATTATAAAAAAAAATTAGTGTATGTGGCAGTTTATGAATGGATGTAACAAGGGAAAATATATTTTTTCATTAGTCTGCTTTTAAAATAGCCGAAAAACATAAAATGGATGCTGTGCCACTACTTATGTGCGGCACTGTATGTCATACAGCTCATCGTTCCTTCGAATGCGATATTCGCCGTGGCTAATACGCAAAGGACTATAAATCTTTCCCAGAACTTTTCTCTCGAAAACTCGCGACGTCGACTCATCAGTTGTTGTCATCGTCCAAGCCTCTGCATCATTTAGCAGGACGGGAAGTAGGCTCATCGTCAGATACCTACATGGTGGAACCTACATTGGAACACTGTGCATATTTTGAAAAATTATTGACCAGCTACCACCTGCTATGCAATTGGGAGCTACTTGTACAAACTAATTCCGATGCGTATTTTGTCAAGTGCCACTGGCGATGTGAGAAATGCTTTGTGTTTCACACAAGTCCTTTGCTCAATTGGTCAAATGGTCCGTGGTTGTCGGTGGTCTCGCGTGGTCTGTCCCTTTGTCTGGTCCTTCGTTCGTCTTGTACCTACTGTTTCGTAGTCATTCCASTCCGTTCGCTGCTGTCACATCTGTTCCCTACACAGTGTTGCATTTCTGTTTCAACATTATTGTCCATTTACAGAGTCCTACATTCGGCTATCCTGACTGTTCATTCGGCCCCGAATGATGGGTTCCACTTCTTCATAAATTCAGCAATTGTTATCGTGCGTCTTGGTCTTTCATGATCACCAATCTTCTAGACTTCATATCTTCCGCGTACCATCTTATTTGCAATTCTATATGGCCCGAAGAATTTTGCTTTAAGTCTCAGTCCTGCTCCATACTGCGTTCGCTTGATGGYTACTAGCTCATTTTTATTATAGTCGACCTCTACTCTTCGCCTTTTGTTGAATGTTCTCCTATTTTCCTGCTGAATCCTAGCGATATTGTGTCGTGTCTCCTGACGAATTACCTCGCGTTCTGCATCGAGCTCTTCGATGGCTGACTCCTCCAGCAGTTCGAGTAAATGTGGTATTCCTTTCAATCGCATCTCAAGTCCAGTCATAATTCTAAATGGTGATTGTTTGGTGCTTCTTTGCGGCGTGCTGTTGATTATTTGCTGCACACGATCCACGTTCTTGTACCAGTTTCCAGAACTCTCGTTTCCCAACTTAGCTATCATCGGAATAATAGTCTGGTGCATGCGCTCTACTTGCCCGTTTGCTCGTGGCACTACCGTAGCTATTAATAAATGCTGGATTTCCTCATCCTCGCAATACTGTTTAAACAAATTCGACGTAAAGGCTGCGCCTCTGTCAGTTATGACACGTCTTGGATTTCCGAAAACGGCTGCTCTTTTCTTTAAACATTCGACGACTGCATCAGCTCCAGTGTTCTTAATTGGATATAGCCAAACGAACTTGGAGAATGCGTCAACCATCACAAGGATGTAGTTATATGCTTTCTTTGTCGACTCCAGCGGCCCAACGTGATCGATATGTAGTGTTCCCAAAGGCTTGTCCTCTTTACTAATGGGATTTAGGAAACCTTCTTTAATTCCTGACTTTGTATCGTTGACGATACACTCTACGCAACTTCTTACAACCTTTGTTACCTTCCTATTTAAATTTGGTATATAAACTGTTTTTTCTACTGCTTCTTCCGTTTTCTTGATGGAAAAGTGTCCTTGCCTATGTGCCATGTTGATGATTTCGTTTTCCATAACTGATGGGACTATCAGGAGTTCTCTTGTTGAATCCTTATACAGTATTCCATGTTTGGTATAAAAGTCTTCGTAATCGTTCTTCTCTAGAACCTTCAACACAGCTCGTACCCAATCATCCTCTTCCTGTGCTTGCTTCAGCCGGTGGATTAGGGAATCCTCTATAATGAGACAAGACACCCTACTCAACGCATCTACATGCCGCATTTTTGAACCGTTTCTATGTTCTATCTCGTAGCAAAAGTCTTGTAGGAACATTGCCCAACGAGATACTCTTAATGGCACATCTCGTTTCCGCATCGTCATTGCGAATGCATTACAATCCTTTATTATCTTAAAACTTATTCCCAACAAATATACTCTCCACTTCTTAAGTGCTTCTATAATCGCTAGTACCTCGAGTTCGTACGAAAGGTACTTTTCCTCTGCTGGTTTTGTCTTCCGACTCATGTATTGAACTGGATGGAACGCTTGATCGTCGAAATCCTTYTGAAGTAGCACTGCTCCGTACCCGGACATACAAGCGCCTGTATGTACCTTAGTCACTGCTTTCGGATTGTATAACATTAGGACTGGTGCGCTGAYCAATGCTGACTTCAACTTCTGGAATGCCTCCAACTGCTTGTCGCGCAGCTCGAACTTAGTCTCTTTCCTGAGTAGATCCGTCAGCGGTTTGGATATTACAGCATATCCATCGACAAATCTTCTAAAGTATGATGTCAATCCCAGGAATCTCTGCAAAGCCTTCTTGTCATGTGGCAGTGGGAAATTCCTAATCGCTTTCGTTTTTGCATCAAATGGTTTTATCGAACCGTCTTCTATAACATAGCCTAGAAAGTCTATTTTACTTGTAAGAAACTGACATTTGTCTCATTTCATCCGCAAACCATTTTCTTCAGCTCTTCGTAGAACTCGTTCTAGACAGTGTACGCTTTCCTAAGATCCAGTGTCGTAAAAACATTAGCACCCTGTAACTTTTCGATAACATCGTCGATATTTGGCATCGGGAAGTTATCGCGAACCATCTTTGTGTTTCATCGCCGATAATCGCAACACAACCGTTTCTTTCCATATTTCTTCGAAACTAACACCACTGGTGACGCATAATTTGAATTACTGGATTTAATGATCCCATCCTTCAACCACTCCTTAACTTGTTCATTCACTTCCTGTCTATCGGTGTATGACATCCGTCTAGGATTTTCATATACTGGGGTGTCATCTGAAAGTAAGATCTTCATCTCTACTGGCGAATTCGAATTGCTTGTAGGCTTATAATTCGCCACCATTCTTCTTACTACAGTTGCCTGCTCTTTGTTGAGGTGTGAAAGATCGGCTTCATCCACAAGTACCTTCGCCATTCCTGCGACCATACACAGGGTTCCAAACTCTTCGCTCAGTTCAGCAATCCTGTTATCACCTTCATCAATTGGGTTGTTCCTAGCATCAGTGCCCATCTCCGCAGTCTCATGAACCAACTTCGAACTCGCTTCTGAAATCCTGAACTCTCTCGGCTCCTTAGCCACAACAGCGCCCTCGCTCTCATTGTTTGCTGCTTCCAATGCCCTTCTATCACGGATTTTCTTGCGATACTTCCTAACGGCTCCCATATACTGCTCGTCATCTTCATGTACCCTTATGGCCACGTTTAATTTCACATCAAACTTCTTAGGCTTCGCTGACCCAACAGTGCGATCTTTCCTTACTGCTCCAGTATTCACCTCCTCCTTGCTCGGTGGCTTTTCCTCCACCTTCTTCTGCCTCAACTCCTCGCCATCTTCCGTAACGAACATATCGACTTGTCTCAGAACGTCGTTACCAATCACGAGCGCATATTTGATGTCTCGCTCCCTCACTACGGGAAATTTTACTTCCAACTTTATGTTGTCTACATCGATGGATGTGGTAAAGCTACCTATTGTTGTAAGTTTGCTGGTACCGATACCCATAAACTGTCGCTGGTCACTACTTAAGTCAACATCCAGACTAAGTATGTTTAACGTATCGTGACGTATAATACATAAGTCGCTACCTGTGTCGATTAATGCCGACGCAGATTTCCCGTTGAAACTTACATCCTTAAAAATCTATCCACTCCGCTTCTCCGATTTTACAATTTCTCCTTCATCCGTCATATTATTGACGCTGCTTCTTTCCAATTTAGGAGTTTTGCTTTCTGCCTTAGAGTTAGCTGCACGATTACCTTCTTTACCGCAATTGTAACACGATGTCTTATTGCGTGGACAGCTCCTAACAAGATGTGATGAATCCCCACAGACAAAACTGACTGACTGACTGGGACTGCTTTCTGGAAATCCTTGTTTGACGACGATGCCTTCTCCTGGTTCCCATTCACGGGTTGTGACTGGCTGTAACGAATTTTCTCGTATACCTTGATTTGCTCCTTCAAATCCTGTATAGTTTTCGCCTGGTATAGGTTACTTTTGTACGACCTTGAGTCCGGTATGCCTTCGATGAAATATTGTATTAGGCTTGGGTCACCTAGCCCTATCGGTTTTCCCAATTCCATTGAAACGTATAAGTATTCTCGCAAATCTTCTCCATGTCGCTTCCGACGACTACATAAAGTACGGTGTACTTCAATCGATGATAATGCTATACCAAATTCCTGCCGCAGCGCTAGTTTTAGTGAACTCCAACTTCTTATTCCTCTCTGGCTTCTTATAAAAATCTTTGCCGCACCCTTCAACAGTTGTTTTGCGTAGATGAATTTCTGCAGCTCATTCCAACGCACTGCTGATGCGTTTGCCTCAAAATCCTCAAGCTATTGTTCGAAACTGTTCCTTTAAACGAAGTCATTGAGTCCTTAACATCTCGGAGAGTAAAGTTGTGGTATTCGACTCTAACCTCACGCACACATCAGTTTCGGAACCGTCACTCACAGTCAGGGAGAAATGCTCCATCAGTCTGTCTTGTAGTGTCGCTTTCCGTCCAATAGTCGATAGCCCTAAATCGCCTAACCTTTCCTTCAGACCGTCAACAGTCAGCTCAAAAATTTCGTTACGGTTCATAATTTACAGTGTTGTGCAAGAATCGATTATGTTCCAAAATCTTAATTTCAATAATAATATTTCCTTTTAGCCCGCGCTACAATATTCACTTTTTCCGCATACTATTCTGATAACTTTTATGTTAATCAAGTCGATCGCAATATCTGCGTTTACAATTTAATAACTTTTGCGTTAAACAAATTTTATTACAATATTCGTTTTAATCTTTCGTATACAGTTTTGAAGTGAAATATTTTCTATAAATCGGATTTTGTTACAATTTCCGCATTAATATTTTGTGCAAAATTTTAATAACTTTTATGTTTAACGAATTTCATTACAATATTCCTTTTAACTTTTCCGCATAATGTTTTTACAGAGAAATTTTTCCTATAAATCGAATTTTAAAACGTATTTTCAGCAATAGATATTCGCCACAATTTCTCACAAAATTTTCACAGAAATATTCAATAACTTATTTTACATTATTCAAAAACTGTACAATTGTATGTATATCAAAAGACTTAGCTGTTTCCAATAAAATGTGACGCCACCTCCAACGATGAACTGTACTTTACCGTACGCACTGTATATACCCGCCGTTTCTGCTGCTGCTGTTGTTGTGACTGACGCTGACGCTGCTGCTACTGCTACTACTGGTGCTGCTGCTACTGCTGCTACTACCACTGGTACTGCTGTTGTTACTGGCGCTGATACTGCTGCTGCTGTTATTGCTACTACTTCTGATGCTGTTACTGCTACTGCGTCTTCGCCGACGCTGTGCCTTGTTGCTAGCGCTCCTTTCGACAGCTAGGCTTTACCATTCGTCCGTTATGCGGTTTGGACCACTTGCATTAACACGTTTAAAAATTTTCACTTTAAACCGCACTTTAATCCCGTTTCTGACACCAATTGTGGGATTGACTCAAAAATCATTGTTTTCTTTTAATAATTATAACGTTTATTTAACAAATATAAATCGCAAGTATTATATTACTCGTAAATTATGTGTGTGAAATGTAATGGTCCGTGGTTGTCGGTGGTCTCGCGTGGTCTGTCCCTTTGTCTGGTCCTTCGTTCGTCTTGTACCTACTGTTTCGTAGTCATTCCAGTCCGTTCGCTGCTGTCACATCTGTTCCCCACACAGTGTTGCATTTCTGTTTCAACCTTATTGTCCGTTTACACAGTCCTACTTATATGAAATTATATTATTACCCAAGACTTTTTCTGTGACCCTGTGTTTATGCTTGAAAAAATAAGATGTATATTTTAAAAATCCTTATTCAATATGGCGAATCCCAGAAATTGTGAAGTTCATTAGGTATAGAAAAATATTTAAATTTAAGTAAGGATACCCTTAGTTTATTTGAAACACAACAATATAATCATCATATAACTGATAATTTGAGTAACAAGTATCTTAATGACACTTGTTGCACGTATTCTCAGCCACTGGATCGGAGTATTGTCATGCCCACAAAATGCAGTTAAACAAAGCTTATAAATAAGCTGCAAATTAAAATTAAAATGTTGAGAGATAGAAAGGCCAAAAGACGGAGAATTGAAGATGTTGCTCGATGGTGGTTCAGTATTGTTAAGTACCCGACAAGCTATTTCAAAGCGGCTATTTACTGAAAATTAAACTTTTGTTCCTTCAAACCTCAATACTAAGAGAGGAACGGAGACGTCGAAATACGGCTTGATTCTTGAATAGCATCACAAGATGAACAGTTTTACCATTCGAGCTTTGTCAGAAAGTTGGGAAAAAGTTGTGACTAGTAGAGCAGAGGGTCTTAGAAAATATTTATTAAAAGAAAATCACTTGATGTTAAGTTTCGTACGTCAGTGTTATTGTTTTGCCGCGCAACGCATGTTGCTCACATTGTTTGTATTTTTACGAAAATTGTTTTTTGTAAAAATGAAGAAAAGAATATGAGAAAGGATATTTTTCCTCATATCGATTCGAGCTGTTAAGATAAAATGAACTTTTTCAAAGATCAAAAATATAATTAACAATAACTCGACATTTTTCGAATTTTGAAAATCCCTTCCCTTCTTCTTTACTGGCGTGGACACAGCTTACACGGTTGTAGTCAAGTTAACAAGGGCGCGTCAGCCGTTTCTTCTTTTTTATATTTGGCATCAATCCCAAATACTAAGTGCAGCCAGGTACTCTCAAACTGTTCTCTCCAAAGGAGTGGATGCCTTTCTCTTCCTCTGCTTTCACCGGCGGGTACTGAATCGAAAATATTCAAAACTGGAGTGTTCTCTTCCTTCCGGGCCTAGTCGCTGGCTCTTGATTTGCTGAACTACGCCAATGTCTTGCACTGTCTCTCGAACCCACATAAGGCCGATTAATCAGATGTTGTCATTGTACATACATAAAGCTTATATTAAGTTGAGCTTTCAATCTATACGGACGTGTTTTGATGTGCTCCGTGAAACTTTTCTTTAAAAAAATATGCCGTTAGGATAATCAAAATATAAAAAGTCCCAAAAAAATTTTACTGTTTACAAAAAATAAACATAATAAAATAACAAATAAGTGCGAAATGAAACAAAAGCCATGAGCGCCGCGCAGCCCCACAAACAAGACCGCAGGCATTCTCTGAATGCCTACTTTAGATTTGTCGAGCAGGCAAATTCATCTCCTACCAACAAACAAAGCAACGATGAGAAGGATGAGTCATCGCAGCGACCAACTGAACAGCACCATAAGCTGAGATTACAAAAAACAAAAGCAGCAGAGAACGGCAGCAACAAACACCAACAACTAAACAGGTACCAGCAAGTACGCGGGCAGCAAAGAATAACACAACGCAAGGTGAGAATGTACAAATAAAAAACGGCCAGTCTGTACAAACTGTCATCGACCGCTACGTTAATATAAAAAGGAAATCAAGTCCTTCCAAGTCAGCGGTCCCTCCCAAAAAAATGCACACCAAATAAGAATAAACCGGAAGTCTTAAATCGGCAACAGATTTACCTTAATGCCGAACCATCTCCATTATATAATATTTGCGCGAGCGTAGCAGTAATGCTATTGTTGTTAAATTAAGTGAAATTGTAGGTACTAACAATTTTCCTACACTGAAAAGAGATTTTTGGAAATAGTTAAATTTTTGTCATATAAAAACAAGAGCTATTATTAAGATCTCTAAGGGCCTAGTTGTTGTAATTAAGGGTATATAGTCCCCCGTAGACTCTAGTGAAGTCAAAGAATGTTTAAGTAATAACAATGTTTAAAATTGAATTACTGCCGAACTCTAATCAACTTAAAAAAATGAAGCACATCCTATATATAATCTGAAATACTTGCTGCATCGTAGAGTAACTGTTGAATAACCACTTAAAAACGGAACGGTCCAGTACAATGTACTAACTGCTAAGAATATGGGCATACCCAATCATAATACTCTCTATGCAGTGTTTGTGTGGTATGCCGTGATTTACGTCCCATTTCTAAAGGCACCCTTAGGAACGACGATTTAAATAAAAAATGCAGCAATTGTGGAGGAAATCACATTGCTAACTACAGGAGTTGTCCTGTATATAAAGATTTAAAATCGAAGTCGTCATAAAGCATTCAAGCACGTCGTAACCAAAAGTTACAAATACCCCGTAATTAAATTATATTAATCTCAGATAAAAGTTCAAATCCTATTACTTTTATTAGTAAATAAAGTAATATTATGCAAGGAAGCTATGCAAATGCAGTGAAAGGCAACACTGTACAAATGCAACTGTCGCGAAATCCTCCAAATTTAGGTATTGAAACTATGATTTTAAATCTTATACAGTGTATGACACAATTTATGTCTACCATGTAAAATATGATCCAAGATTTAATAAAATCCCAAAATCAAATGCTGCAACATTTATTAAGTAAGAAAAGTGCGTACTAAATATCTCTATATGGAATGCTAACGGTGTTAACCAACATATATTAGAGATTATTAGATTTCTGTCAGACAAAAGTATAGAGGGAATGCTCATATCAGAAACTCATTTTACGAATAAAAATAATTTCAATRTACCGGGATTTAGACTGCATGCTACAAATCATCCGAATGGAAAGGGCATGGTGGCACGGCAGTGTTGATTAGAAATCGTTTAAACGAATATGCTCTAGAATCTCACGCTACAGCATAGTTACAAGCTACAACAATATCTCTAAATAATCGGGGTTGACTTAAACCTTACGGCTATAAACTCTGCAACTCGTTTAAAAATGACAGATAGCAATTTAAAGATATTTTTAGAACACTATGTCAAAGGTTTCTAGCAGGTGGAGATTACAATGCAAAACACATGTATTGGGGCTAACGAATGATTAATCCGAAAGGACCACAGCTGGACTACACTATTATGAATAAGCATAATAAGCTGGATATAATATCACTTGGTAAGCCGACATACTGGCACAGTGAAAGAAAAAAAATACCAGACTTAATAGATTTTGCGGTAGTCAAAAATATGGATAGATCTCTTATGACAGCTGATACATGTACAGACTTATCATCTGTTCATTCTCCTGTACTAATAAATATACGAAGAACCCATGATATTTGAGCCAAAAGTTTATCTAACATCACATAAAACTAACTGGTTGAAGTGTAGAAATTATATTAGCAGCCACATTAATATTGATTTGCAAAATAAATACAAGAAGAGCCATGGATAAACTTATAAGAGAATTTAATGATGTAATAACTAATACAGCTGTATTGGCAACACCAGAAAGAAACAATAAACTAGTTGGTTTTAGAAAGATCACCAATAACGAAATAGTGAAACTTGTAAATGAGAAAAGGCAAGCTAGATGTGAATGGCAGTTAAGTCGTTCCCCTTCAACTCTGCTTCAACTGAAATCTACTGTACGAAAGTTAAAATTTAGCACTTAAACGAGGCGAAGAACACAATACTGAAAATTATATAAAGAAATTGTGTCCCAATTCTAGCAAGCCAAACTCCCTTTGGAAAGCCAAAAATCCTTTTAAGCCATCAGTAGATTCCAACATTCCTCTACGATAGTTGAATGGTTATTGAGCACGCAGTGATGAGGAAAAAGCAAATTGCTCTGCAAATCACCTAGAAAATGTATTTCAACCTAATTGCCCAAAGAACAACTTTAAGTTGCCAACCCTGTCGAATACCGCTAACGAGTCGCATATGTCTACTTCTGAAGTTACTAAAATCATAAAAGAGCAAAATCCGAAAAAGGCATGTGGACACGATAATATTACTCCAAAAATGATATTAGAGTTACCCAATATTACTAAAAGAGTGCTCTCGTTGCTTTTTAATGCAATTCTTGGTTTCGAATACCATCTAATTTCGTGGAAAAAGTCACAAATCATCATAATAGATAAACTTGGTAAAGACCTAACACAACCGTCTTTCTACAGACCAATAAGTCTCTTACCCTGTATTTCTAAAATATTTGAAAAAGTGTTACCAAGGATGACTCCTTCCCTCCACGAAAATAATATAATACCAACGCACCAATTCGGTTTTCATGCTAAACATGGCAGTGTAGAGCAAGTAAATATAATTACGAACGAAATCAGGAAAGCATTCGAGCAAAGAGAGTACTGTTCAGCTATTCTTCTAGATGTAGCTCAGGCGTTCGATAAGGTCTGGCATTAGGGCTTTTTATGGAAAATCAAAAACGTTTTACCTTACGAATTGCATAAAACTTTGTATTCATATTTAAGAATCCGAAAATTTGCAGTTAAAGTAGCAGATTTCATATCATAAGAACGAGTAATAACAACTCTGTACAGAATATATACACAGATATTCCAACAGCTACTAACGTATTGTCATCCACTTTCGCGGATGGCACAGCTCTAGTAAGCCATCTAAGCATTAAGAGTATTAGAGCAGGAGTTAATTTTGATCGATGAATGGCCAGCTAACTGGCGTATAAATATTAATGAGCAAAAATGGAAGCATGTTACGTTCTCGCTAAAACCAGAAACGTGGCGGACAGTAAAAATAAACAATGTCCTAGTACCCCAAGTAGATTTACCTGGAACGAAGGCTCACATGGTGAAAATATATAGCGAGTAAAATAACTTACATGAAGTTAAGAGCAGCAAATTTAAATTGGTTTTTAAACAAAAATTGTAAACTTAGCCTAGACAAAAAGTCCTGTTGTACAATGCAATCATAAGACCAATTTGGATGTATGGCATTCAACTGTGGTGTACGACCTGTGCAACCAACATTGATATAATACAAAGGTTCCAATCTAAAATGCTTAGAACAATTACGGCTGCACCATGAACATGAATGAACGTGAAAACATTCATAAAGGTCTTGATATTCCTATTGTAAAAAGGAGATAGAAGACAGCAAAATGAGATAAATCGCTAAACTTCGCGAACATCCAAACCCATTGGTTAATGCCTTCGCAATCAAACACGTTTAAAAAGAAGCGATATAGCAGCCTAGAGGAGAGCAACGTTTATCAAAAAAGTTCAATCACTTTTTTAAGCTTCTTTAGTTTTAAATAGATTTAAGATTTGAATAGTTAGCATTTACCAAGCAGATCCAATAAATAAAGAAATATTGAAAAAAATAATGAAGATCGGGAATAATGAGTAAGTTGTAGAGTTCGGTCTTTGTTCGTCGAGAGAGAACTTTACTTTTTGATTATACACACAAAGTAGCACCTTTTAGCAAGAGCAATTCCGCATTGAATTGCAAATTAAAAATATTCAAAAATATGCGAAATTATCTAAGGCTTCAAAGTTATAACTGTCAACAGTGACGTGTGGGCCAAGTCGTGAAAGCGATTACTGTTTGTTTAATTAATTTCGAGTTTTCTTCGTTCACAATCAGATCCATACACTTCGCTTTCTTATCCAGTCTGCATAAAGCAGAACTAAGGGCGCAATTATTGAGGCCGATGTGATGATATTAATATCATCGGAAAAAGCCTGAAGCTGTTAACCGTTATAGAATATTGTACCTTCTCTATTTAGATCTGTAGCTCGTATTATTTTCTTTAGCAATATATTGAAGAAGTCAAACGATAAACGGCCCGGAGAGGTCCTTCGATCTTGACGTAGCTTTTGGTGTTGTCCAACGGAAAATCTATTTTATGTGCTATACTTCACTGCGTTTAGCAGCTTCCATAACATCAGTGTGCTCTGAACATCAGTTAATAGGACATCACTATGGGTCCTACAAATGTAAGCTCCGGTGTTGAAACCTTCCGTTAGTCGCCGCATCGTTTTGTACAATTTTCGAGCATTACCTCTGACGACCAGCTTCTTAAGCTCTTCATACTCATGCTACTGCATATGTGTCACCCTTCTCTCTTCAACTCTCTGTATCTATCCAAACCCGCTCGTGTTGTGGTCAATTGCAACATTGCAAGGTAGACTGCCCGCATCCACTTCACTGCGACACGACATTGTACCAGCTGTTCTTTCATCCTTTCCTAAAACGAATGGTTTCGCTTACAGCTATATTTCAATAACTTGAAAGGCCGTCCACTGTGCCCCTATACCGAGTTGCTAATGAGTGCTTTCAGAGAGCAAGAGTGAAAGTCGATTGGAACCGTTTAGCTGTCGGTGATGGTTTTAGCTTCTCGATGTCGTATCTTCCCTGTGTTTGTTGACCTGCTGTACAGAGGCGGGCGCGTATCTTTGGTCATTTCACCATTCTTCTCCGTCGGGCGTGGGCAAATATCAGTGTATGCCAAAATCATACCCAATATTACGTTTGCTTACGTTGCCAGGTCTTTTGTTAAAAATAAAGCTTTGTAGCTTAACTTGTGCCTAATATATAGCATTCTATATTTTTCCAATCAATCTCAAAGTTCTGAGGAATACGCGTTCCCAATAAAAATTTCTCTATTATTATTCAAGTTATCGGTTGTATAGATAGACGGGTCGCTAACATTGATAATCACAATTTAATTCGTCTCGTCATCCTGAAGAACTTAATATATTTAGCTCAGTTTTACGTGTTACAAGCTATCATTAGGTTAACAATTCTACTGTACTCTCTCTGTATATAAATTTCAGATATTGGTGCGTGAGATATTGGAACCAAAATTTATTATGAAGTTAGCTAAGGTGGTAGCTGAGACGTGTGCGATAAGTCGTACGAGAAACGAGAACGGGCAAGTCAAAGCTCAGTGCAAAGTAGGGACGCGCAATAAAATTGATGACAAAATAACATGATTGGTTTTTCTGCATTCATGAATTTAGCCTTAATGTCATTTTACAATTCTCCAAGAGAAAAGAATATTCGTTAAAAAATCTTACCAAGGCTGTAGATTGTTTTGTAGCAAACGAAAATCATACTACTATAAGAATGGTATGGATAAGCTGAAAATCACTATAATTGGTTCCTCCCTCTTGGTGACATTTATGTTGAATTTAAAAATCAAGTTTTGTTAAAAATTCGGACTCGCGTAAACCCCTCTTTTTGAGTTTTATAATCATTCGCCTGATTTATATAAATAAATAAAAAATAATTTTATCAAGAATATTTAACTTATTTATTGTGTAATTATATATTTTTTGTTTACTCTAAAAAATCTGTTATTTACAACTCGTTTAAGCAAAACAAAAGATTTCAATAAGGCGACAAACTTGTTGAACCTTCAAAGTAAATATAATACATTGAAGTATCAAGAGAGAGAATCTTCCAATATAAGAGCATTTATGAGACTTATAATGAGCTTTTATATAGAGAAATATTCGAATCACTTATTTGTGCATTTATTTAAAATATAAAAGTTTGAAAGCTCAAGTTATATTTTTAAGCTTAGGTTCGTTTAACTATCTTCTCTTATCCAAAACTGCTACTGAGTTATGGTTGTTGTTAAAGTTTGAGCAAAGTACAACCTGCTGAGCAGGTTTTGTTTTAGCACAACAGTGTTCAATCTGCAATCAAAGTCTTGTCTTTAGTCTTCCAGAGATATCGTTGGCATCGTGTGCCAAGTGGCTTAGTTCGCTGAAATAATATACATACATTAAAAATCGTGTTTCTGTAGTTCGATACGTGAAAAGTTTTAAGGTAGTCTTTTTTAACGTTGTTAGTTAGGTAAATGTACATAAGTAATGGGTTTAGTAATAAAATACGTAATTTTTTCTAACTCCAGTTTCAGAGTTTACATATCAAAATTAAAACTTTCTTTATTTTTACGTGCATACTTTAACATCAATTAGGTATATAACAAAATGACTTGGTGTACTCATATGCCTATATATCAAAAACGTGAAACCAATGCAATGTACTTAGGTACATATAATCGCATATAATTGGCGAGTATGTGAACGTAATCATGTGTTTGTGAGAATTGATGTATGTATGTATGAGTTAGTTCCATTTCGAAAATAATCGTTATATAGGTATGTATCATATACATACATACTGTACATGTTATTAGTTAATAAAATCTGATATTGGAATTAAATAGAGTCCGGTTAATACGCGTAAAAGTTTTCCTGCCTCTTTCTACATATATATGAATATGTATTTATATATGTACATACATAACTATTTGTATGCAAGAGAGTTCATGTATAACCAAGCGTGTTGTACATTTTTTCTGTTATACTCTAAATTAACGCAAGTATATGTTATACAAAATTTTACCCAGTTGTATATAAGTATATACACATATATCATGCATTTTCCTTATATACATACATATGTACATAAGTGTTTACACTTGCAAAGTATTTCGAGAGGTGCATTTTGTTTATTCATTTAGTTGGCTACATAGCGAATACAAGTGCATGTATGTACATATGTAACTTATAATACTACTTATATTTGTATATTAACATATTTATGTATTTAATTTTCAGTATAAATATGTATTACATATACATATTCACGAATACAATAATTATTATTTATGCTTGTGTGTTAACATACATGTGTACCATATCATATATATGTACATATCTGCGTAGATATGTTTGAAATGCTTCTTGATCACCTTGGAATAAAAAATAATTGCATGCCACTTTTGTTCGATCTTGGCTTTCTTCTGTGTCGCTTCTTTACACATTCATAACTCTTAGCGAATTCACAAATGCATTTATACATACATATATGATATAGATATATGTATATATATTTATTTATTTATTGTTTGCAACAAAGACTTATTTTGCTAAAATAGATATTTTATGCGCACCGTATTGATATAGTGCCACAAATTTGTGTTTTGTACAATACCTTAAAAATATAAAACTCCAGAAAAAAGTGAGTCATTACCTCGAAGGAAACGTGATTAGGATACGAAAGTTTTAATTACAGATATAAAACGCTATATTTTCAAATAAAAATCGCATGAGCTTTCATTAGCATACTTATGTCCATTTAAATATAATATATTCATAATTTCGCAATGTTAAAAACGACTCTTTTAATCACGTACTTATTTTATACAGATTTGCGACCCCGGTCAAGGTAGTCAATTGTATATGTATAAATGGATGTACATATTCGTATGTATGTGATCAACGGTTTATGGACCTTGTACTGATTGTACATATGTATATAATTCAATTTGTACTCATAAATTAATATGTATATTATATATAATATATTGTGTACATAGAGAGAAGGTTTAAATATATACATATGTTTATATAACTAGGGTTGAATTTGCATTTGTTACTATTGTATATTAATTAATATTTAGTTTCCATTTAATTATTTTGATAACCTTTAATCAAATCAAGTTTTGCTTTTAGTAATAAATTCTATCGGGCCTTTTTATTATGAATGACTGAGTGATGTAACAAAGTTTATAACACTTAACACCCGGAGGAAGCGTCGGAAACCTTATTAAATTTATACATGCATATATACGTATACATTGGGAAAGGAAAAGTACCCGGAAAGCGCAAAATATTTAATTAGTCATCAAAACTTATTTTGTCGCCTTCAAAGTAATCGCCACCATATATGTATAATACACTTATGCCAACTTTTCCAGCATTTGAAAGACTTTTCATAAGAGCTCTTTGGGAATTTGGACGAATTTTGTTATATATTACCGATCGCCTGAAAACGGGTTCCATTCCGGTGATTGGCGACTTGTTTGTATGTTAAAGTCATAAACCCATGTCTCATCGGAAGTTATAATGCTATCCATGACTGTGAGATCGGAATTCGCACGATCAAGCATGCCCAAAGGGGCCCGTTTACGATACTCTTTTTGAAAAAAAAAACAAAAAATCACTTTTATCGGGACGAGTCGAGCAAAAACGCCTTTCATACTCAAAGATCAGATGTCGAGCTCTCTTGCCATATCTCTAACATTTCCCTGGCAATTTTTAGGCATCATATCTTTCACTTTTTTATATTTTCATCAGTTTAAGATGTCGAAGTTCGTTCAGAATAAGGCATGTCTTCAACGATCTCTCGACTTGAAGACATTCTACCACTCGCTTGTGTTTTTGATAAATAAATCAAAGCCTTTTCCAACATTCGTAATAATTCCACAAATTTGGTTAGAAATACAAATTTTGAGACAAATTATTTGATAAATTTTTTAAACTATTGTAAAAATCGCAACGCTACACTGAGGAGATGAGCTGATATATATCAAAATAGCTTTTGATTTTAAAATTCAAAATTTGATTACAGTTTAAAATTTCACCCGGTAAATATTCAGTCTTCTGTTCACCAAGCGTTACTCTGCAGGAAATCGAAAAAACCATATCAGACGTGCAAATAAACTGGTAGCACTTGTTGTGCAACCCTGCGCTAACATGTCGCGCAATAGTTATCTTATCGAATTTATTTTCCCTTTACTTTTAGTTTTCTAAAAATTACTATAATTAATTTAACGTTTTAAGTACATATGCAAACTAAAAGAAGAAATTAATATTACAATTTGTAATTTGGATGCGAAATATTTGTCATTCCGCCTTTGGGAAGCAATTGCCCGATGCATCTCGCATGTGCATTTGTCGGACGGCCGGCAGAATGTAGGTCGCAATTTCTTTCGGAAACAAAAAATTCAAAGAGATTCATATTTTTTAATAATTTTTCTTCTAGCTAAATTAAATGAATTCCAAAAAAATGTGTAAAATTTTAGAAATTTTTTAAAAATTAAAAAAGTGTATTTTGATCAAAAAAATTTTACTTTGTTGTTTAAAAATATGTTCAAACCTGACTTTTCCTAGTTTTTTTTTATAGTTTAAATAGAAGATAATTTCATGATAAAGATGAGACGTTCCGCACCAATCCTATACGACGGTTAGTTTTTTTCTATTCTGCTATGCTTTCGCTTCAAAGTTTACGCTTTCTGTCCAAGTGCTCATATACATATGTATCTGCTAGACTCTCGGTCACTATTTTCCTTCTAGCTTCGAAAACATTTCAAATTCGCATCTAAAACTTTGAGGACATATTCTTAGATTATCTTTAAAGAGATTTAAGCAAAACACAACTAGATTTTTTGAAGTTTATAAATCAGGCTCCCCTTAAACGAGGTATCCGCATACTCTTTCGCACGAATTTATGTAACTCCATAACTTTGTTGTTGCTCTTACATGCAAGTTTTTTACAAAATAGCAGAAGCGAGCAAAGAAATGGCGAATCGAAATATTGAGCTCACTTGCAACATGTTGCTACACAGTATAATAGTTTTATTCCCCCAACAGCTGTTTGCATCACTTAACTAATCGAGATAGATATATAACAAACTTCCAAATTAAGATGCAATACTTTTATTAGGTAGAAAGATCGGTTTTGAAAGGCAACTTATATGCTTCAAAAAGTTTTTAAAAATGGCTTTTATCCCTCCCTCTAATAGTTTGAATGTACATACATATCTTCCAAATGTCTGTTATCTTGGTCCATATATAATATGTGAAGTTTTAATGATATGAATTGATCCGCGCCTCTCGTGGGCCAAACCCCTTGACATTAGTAGTTATATTATATTACATTATATTCAATTTCTTTCCCCTGGTTGACTTTTCTCTCTTATTGCTAATATATTAAATTTAGCTACTTTGGTTGAGTATATATCACATTCACACAACATTCAATTTAATTAGGTTGATTTTAATTCGCACATATGAAGCAGAACATATTTAATGGAGAAGTGAATCTAAGGCCTATAATATAAGTTAGTTCTCGTTTTCTTCTAATAATGAATACCGAATTCATTCGCAACATCTTTTAATATAAATTTCTGCCAACACCTGTATATATTTCCTCATCTTCGATCTTTGCAAGTTCGATAGTATAAAATATTCGGTTACACCCGACATGTTAATGATATAGTTTTTAACCACGTTTTTTAATTTAAAATTTCTAGGAAGTGGCAATGCAAGGCCGAAGGCACACATTTTGTACGAAGCTCTACAGTACATATTTACGAAAATGGTGTAAGTAACATATTTTTAATCTTTTGTTTTGATTTCAGATATGAAATTTACATAATTTTTAAATTTAATGCGTAATTCCTTACATAATACAAAAAAAAAAAAACGAAAAACATAAAGTCTGCTGGAAAAGCAAAAATCATTACATGTAGAACGACATACAATACACTATATTTAAAATATTATATGTACGTTCACTTAATTTGGTAAAATATCTTACTCATTGGCTGATATACTCGTATACGCTATAAAGCCAACTGGTGGTTTGAGATTCTAACAAAAGGCACTCATAGGTATATAGTATGTGGGCTGCGAGAGGAAGTGAACCAATTTATTGAAAAGGAAATTATCAACATACATATATATGATATAAAGTCAACCTGAACTTTAAATATCTTTATATTAGGTCTACGACGGCTACTGGAAGTATTGATCCGATCTTACTATTTCTTAGCATCAAGGCAAGTTATTACCATTGTTATATTTCATAAATTGAGCTATTTTTTCGGAAAAATAAAGCTTAGGTAACCATACTCGGTATTTGATTTGTACACTGTAAAGTGAAAGACTCAGATGGAAATTTATATTTGATTACATGGAAAGTAGACAAATGTTAGGTTAGTGTCATGTACCATTTGGTTGAAATTAGTTCAGTAGCTCCATAGATACCTTAGGATGGGCGGTGCCACGCCCATAGTTTAATTTTAGTACCGGTTCCCATGAAGCTTTGTCTGACTATTTTGATCGAGAAATTTAATGCTACTGACATTTAGTGCTTGTTGTGTTGTGAGAGGGCCTAGCTACTACCCAATTTCAGTTATATACGCGATTCCCAGTTTAATATCTTAAGGACTTATGGGTTTCAAAAAATCGGATTTAAGAATATTGTCCTAAATTTTTAAGTTAATCCGGGTAATAGTTTCGGAGATACAGCTTTGAGAACTGGTGCGCTCGGGGCTGGTTAGGTTGAATACGCCGTCTTTAAAGGAAAATAATTTGCGACCTGTGATGGGGAAAAGGAGGGGAGGACTTTGATTTCCGGCAAAGCCAAGAGTCCTATTAAACAAATTATATGGCAGTAGTGCCATATAATATTTTATACAGATACTTTAATCACATAACTTTCAAATTTATTTAAAAAATTCATATAACCAAGAGTTGAGTTTTTTACTTTTTCTTGTACAAGCAGTTTTGTTCGTTCACAAATTTTTGTGTAAAGTTACCTACTTATATCCCAAAATCACTCTTTTTATTGAAAATTTTTATTTGATCTGCTTATAATATCAAAATAAACCTTAATTTTCAATAAAAAATCTCGCAGCAAAATTCTACATTTTTGTAATGTAAGTAGGATTTATGATTGTTAAAATATCTTACATCAGATGGTATTAAAAATATATAAATTACTATGGTAAATTTGCTCAAAATCGGAAAAAGATTCCACTAAACGATTCAGTTCTGCTTTTTTACATCTGCCACTATGAAATAAAAAATTAAGTATGAAATAAAAGGCAGAGATTTGAGTATTTTTTTCAGCTTTTAAGCACTAGTCTACTAGCTCCAATCTAACTTTAAACCATATGTATCAGTCAAAATATTTTAATGAAATTAAGTGGGCCCGTTTTTTTGTTATGTTGTTTAACACTGAATCTAAACTCCATATCCTCAATATAATGATTCAATTCCATAAAATAATAGTTTTTAAAATGACGAATAGTTATGGTATATTTAAATATTTAATTAATATTACATGTTGCATATTTTTTAGGGATTACTATAGCATTCGCAGTATGCCTCATTATTCTTGGAATTCTAGTTACTTGTGAATTTACTGCGGTAATTAATATTATAATAAACTATCAAGTTGCTCTTCGCCGGGGAAGCCAAACATTTGGATGGTGGGCAAAGCCACCTGTGGAACCGAAAATATCAGTTTACGTTTATAACGTCACAAATGCAAACGAATTTTTGAATAATGCTTCCAAACCAATCCTTGATGAAGTGGGCCCTTATGTTTACACGTGAGTTTTATATCAATTTCAACTATGTTTATATATATACATACATAGGTACGTATGTGTATATATTCTTGGAGCAATGAGCGGAAATAATAAGTCTTCTATTTTTCTCCTTTGGTTACAACGTAGTTAAGGTACTAATAATTATTTACTGTTGTTACTAAAAAATTAAAAGTTGGTGATAATACAGAGTGACAATAAAGTGGTAAAACAGAAAATAATATATTTTTACATTATTACATTTCAGTACATTAAAAATTATATGTTGTTAAAAATTATAAGTTGGTGACCAGGGTAAAAGTAATTTAGTACTTACGAATCGTTTAACGCCATTTTACAACATTAAAATAATTTATTAACATTTCTTGAAAACCTCTTAATCCAAAAAACTAGCAGACGAATGCACAAGTTGAGAGTGTAAGTAGCTAGTTTCTGTAGAAGAAACTGCCTTGGAAGAAACAGCTTTTAAAGCAAATTAAGATACAAAGCTTATATATTTTACCTTTAATATATGTATACGCGCATATAAGAAAGTGTTATTATTTAGGAAATTACCTTATATGTTTTTTATGTAACTTTTTTTTATGTATCTTAGCCCAAAATTCAGAAAACTACCATAGAGTATCTTAAAACTAATCAATTTATTATTTTGATGGCCTTTGGCTTATGCTATTTTTATACTCTCGCAACAAAGTTGCTAAAGAGAGTATTATAGTTTTGTTCACATAACGGTTGTTTGTAAGTCCAAAACTAAAAGAGTCAGATATAGGGTTATATATACCAAAGTGATCACGGTGACGAGTAGAGTTGAAATCCGGATGTCTGTCTGTCCGTTCGTCCGTCTGTCCGTCCGTGCAAGCTGTAACTTGAGTAAAAATTGAGATATCATGATGAAACTTGGTACACGTATTTCTTGGCTCTATAAGAAGGATAAGTTCTAAGACGGGCAAAATCGACCCACTGCCACGCCCACAAAATGGCGGAAACCGAAAACCTATAAAATGTCATAACTAAGCCATAAATAAAGATATTAATTTTCTTTGGAAAAGTGGGCGTGGCCTCGCCCCCTACTAACTTTTTTGTACATATCTCGAAAACTACTATAGCTATGTCAATCAAACTGTACAGAATCGTTTCTTTTAGGCATTTCCATATAGAGTTCAGAAATGGAAGAAATCGGATAATAACCACGCCCACCTCCCATACAAAGGTTATGTTGAAAATCACTAAAAGTGCGTTAACCGATTAACAGAAAACGTCAGAAACACTAAATTTTACGGAAGAAATGTCAGAAGGAAGCTGCATCCAGGCTTTTTTTAAATTGAAAATGGGCGTGGCGTCGCCCACTTACAGACCAAAAACCATATCTCTGGAAGTACTCAACCGATTTCAATGAAATTCGGTATATAATATTTTCTTAACACCCTGATGACATGTACCACATATGGGTGAAAGCGGTTCACAACCACGCCTGAAATCTCGATTATAACTTTATCATGACACCCGAACTTAGCCCTTCCTTACTTGTTGTAGAATAAAATCGTCAATAAATTAATAATAACATAATATTTATGTTTATAATCAATAAGTAAATTTATAATAAAAATATTTTACGCCTTTCAGAGAGTCATGGGAGAAAGTCAATATTGTTGAAAATGAAAACGGCACATTAAGTTATAATTTGAAAAAAGTTTACATTTTCCGAGAAGATTTGTCATTCGGAATGGAGGATGATGTTGTAATTGTTCCTAATATACCGATGTTAAGTGCAACGTCTCAGAGCAAACACGCAGCTAGGTATATGGTTTTGATTTTTATTCAAATCTCATTTAAATAAGGTCATTTTTATTCACAATTGGCTTTCCAGATTCTTGAGACTTGCCATGGCTAGTATAATGGATATTTTGAAAATAAAGCCGTTTGTTCAAGTCTCTGTTGGTCAGCTGTTATGGGGCTATGAGGATCCACTTCTTAAATTAGCAAAAGATGTTGTACCTAAAGAGCAAAAGCTGCCATATGAAGAATTTGGGTTAATGTACGGTAAAAATGGGACGTCTACTGTAAGTGTAATATATTTCATTTTATTTCATATCTGGTCATAATACAATTCCTTTTTCAGGATCGTATAACAATTTTCACAGGAGTAAATGACATAACACAGTATGGAATAATCGATAAATATAATGGAAGATCATATCTGCCTCACTGGTTAAATGACGATTGCAATAGATTAAATGGAACAGATGGTTCAATATTCCCGCCACATATTGAAAAGAATCGCATTCTATTCGTATACGATAAAGATTTGTGCAGACTTTTACCACTTGTGTTTGATGAAGAAGTACATATCAAAGAAAGCATCGTTGGGTATAGGTTCACACCTCCCGAAAATGTATTTTCAGACGTTGAAAGGAATCCTGAAAATATGTGTTTCTGTCCAGCAGGACAACCTTCTTGTTCACCAAATGGGCTATTCAATGTTTCCCTTTGTCAATATGGTACTAACATTTAAAATCTTATTACTATTGTATAAAGCATTAATTAAATTTCTTATATTAATTTATTAAGATTCCCCAATTATGTTGAGTTTTCCGCACTTTTATTTGGGTGACGAAAGTTTTCTGTCTGAAGTGGAAGGAATTTCACCACCCGATAAGGAGAAGCATAAATTTTTCATTGATGTTCATCCGGTAAGTGAAATTTTTCTTTACATAGTATAATACATACCTATCTATGTATAATAACACAGTACAATAACAGAAAGTGTGGATTAAGAATTATTATCTCATTTCTTTCTTTTTTATTGTATACGTAGTTCAATATATTGTTGTTAAATTGCTGGATGAATCGCAAATTTTATATCTATCGTATCTTGGCTGCAACAAAATAGTGGTCCGAGTTGATGTTAGGACCTCGGAGTGAATGCACATCTAAAACACTTGAGACGTGTCTTCCGTCTATCACAACATGATAGATCTAGAGAAAGCCATATTTCGGGTCGCGGTGAAGTCGATCACCTTAACCCATTTGGAGATGTATCCTCGTGGCGTCAGATTTTACCGACTGTTATGCTAAAGATACCTTTTTTGCCCACCATGGCTATAAAGTCACTAAGTACGATTTTGACGTCGTGACGGGGGTAGATCGCATAGGTGCGCTATAGACGCTCATAGAAGGCATCTATGGTCACATCGTCCTTCTCTTAAAGAACTTCGTTCTGATCTGGATTGTGGCTAGACGTTCATCCACCGGAGTGAATGAGGGTACTCGGTGATGGAGTCTCTCTCTCACAACGAATCACAAACCGAACATGCGCACTTTTATATGGCCACTGCAGTAATTGCCAAAAGGACCTATTCGCCTCAGTACTTGTCCCGTCCATTGTATCATGGACGGCGGTGATATCGGGAAGACATCAACCAGCTGGACAGCGACCCTCCCAATTAAGGAACCGGACATTCCAGTTGCATGTCCTCAAATCGTTATCCTTAATTCGTTTGCCATGGTCGTCATTCCAGGCTCTTTCTTATTGTTCATTGGAGGCGTTTTTTACGTGGCTCGACTTCAAACAGATGTTATTTAGATAACCAGAGAATACTTGGTCAAACACCGAAAGTCGTGACCTGCTGGAGTCGTATGTAAAATAATCGTTTTTGGCCACTCCCAAGTGAACGATGATCATAAAACTTTTTTCACTTGCGTGAACTTCTGCACATGACTCCATCCTCCAACTCCCTTATACTACTTATAATTATTTTCGTTATTTTAAGAAGATTTATGCCGGCATATTGGGCATAAAGTATTATTTATATATGAAATTGTTTCAAAATAGTTTTTAGAGTGCACATAAGCAATGTCAAAAGTAATGTAGTTAGCCCGCCCCTTTCTCTGCCCCAATATACCCTATCAAATCTTTTTTGCCTTTCCATTATGCATTATTGGTCTATACCTTGGTCTAAACCTTATATAACTAATGTAATCAATTCCGACACAATTTGAAAGATTATTTGCGCCTAAGAAAAATTAACACGATTGGTTCCAAAATCACAAAGTTTTTTCGAAAAAACAGCGTCCCGTTAACGTCTATGAAACAATGCTTTCCGACTACACATCGGCCAAATTAAAGCAGCTCAAAATCAATGTTATGTTAGAATTATCTGGTTAGTGGCTTTTTGATCCGGAGACAGCCAGATAGCTTGATGAATTTTTCTATGTCGGAGTCTAGTAGTATAGATAACCATATTTCGGGCCCCGGTAAAGTCGATCAGCCTCAACCCATTTCGAAATCTTTCATTATGGAGTCTGAAATTACCGACCGATGTGCCATAGATACTTTCTCTGACATAAATGTTTTTTAGCTACCCAGAAGATACTTGGTCTAAGACCGGAAGTCGTGAACTGCTTGAGCGATACGTAAAAGAATCGTTCTGGCCACTCCCAAGTGAATGGGACTCATAGAGCATTCCTTCATCCTCACTGTATATATATCAATGATAAGTTAGACGAACTGAGTCGATTATGTCATATCTGTACATATGCGAACTAGTCCCTCAGTAGATACTGATTAGTTACTGCTAATTTGACGGAATCGTCCATATCAGACCATTACAGCATATAACTGCCATACAAACTCATCGGTCATGCTTTATGACATGTACTGGTTGAGGGTATATAGCATCGGTTCAGTTGAAATTCATTATTTTTTTTCTTGTTTTAATTAGAAACAAAAGTGCTTAAATAAATTAAATACTAACTTGAACCATAAAATTTTAAATTTATTTCAGACGATGGGAACAACTTTAAGAGCTCGTGCTCGAATCCAGATCAATTTAGCTGTCAGTCAAGTTTTCGATATAAAACAAGTGGCTAATTTTCCTGATATTGTTTTTCCCATTTTGTGGTTTGAGGAAGGCATAGACGAACTACCGGATGAAATAACCGATTTAATGAGCTTCGCCGCAACCGTGCCGCCAAAAATTCGTTTGGGTATTATAATTGGCCTTTTTTCATTGGGCGCATTTCTTTTCTCGCTTGCTTTATTCTGCTTAATAAGAAGCTCGAATAGGCAAAGCACCCTTCACCTGGAAGGATCTAATTATTTAGCAACAGCACAGTTCGATTTGACAAAAAAGAAAGCTAAAGATTCGAAATAAAAATATTCTATACTACGCGTATTTTATGTAATTATTAAAAACTTAGATTAGGAAGAGGGATATTTACTATACTTGAATAATTGAAGTTAATATTGCATATTTTTTATAATATTTAACCTGTGTAAATATTTATGCGTATATGTATGTATTTACATACATATAAGTATGTAACCATACTACTGGTACATATGTATATAGATTTGGGTTTTGTTTCCCTAATATATTTTTTTTTATAAGAAATATTATATTTAGAATGCATTTTTTACGAAAGTATTGAGCAGACAAAAGTAATCAATCATTAGTTTTCAAAATTGTATTTTCATCTCTTTATTTCGAATAATAAAGAAAAATAGTAAAAAAATTTGAATGATTGAATTTTATTCCTTTAAAAACCAGATAAGACCACACAATTTTTTTTTTTACAGAAAATATTCGTATTTAATGGACCTGCTCATTTTTTAATATTCAAGACTGAATAGAAAACTTTTTTTTGTCGCAACAATGCTTTTTGGTAAAAAATATGAACATAGGGAAGTATTTGATGTCCATATTGTTAATTTTTTTAATATAATAAGTAAATTGAATATAATTGATTAAAACATATCAAATGGTTCTCCCTGTAGTTAAATTAAGTTAGTTTAATGTAATGGTAGTCATTTCTATTTCTATATATGTTTGCAAATAGTCGTATATCTATAAATAAAACCTGGTTTCATAAAAATCTACGTAAAAGAATTTTATGCCGAATTAGAGAATTATATGTTTTTAATTATATTATATTGTAATTGCTACATTGCAAAGTTTATTATATGTATAGTACATGTCTACAACTTAAAATCTTTCAAAATAATTACGAACGTATACATACATACAAATATATATATAACAGGCTTATAGTATGTACATATATGTGGATTAGAATATTGTAATACTCAGTAAAAGGAAGCGGGTATCTGAATCTTTATACTTGTAATATAATGTTACTCACGTGTATTGAAAAGGTAGTCTTAAATATATGTAGTAAATTTTGTTTTGGGATTATGCTTTGTGTTTAACTAGAATAAATATTGTTTAAATTATTTTATTCTCTGTTTTTTTGTTTTTTAGACAAAAATAAATAATGATTATGTAATATGTGTCGCACAACTAAGTAAACATCTTGGCGTTACCATTCTTTGGATTTTAATCAAACAACTTTTCAAAAGTAAAGTTTTGGAGATACTTCCAATTCCTTCTACTTCTCGCCAACAATCCAATTAAATAATATGAATAAAATTGGGACATCTGTTTGTATTATTAAAATATCCGCTTTTTATGATATACCAAAATCACTGAATATTGCTGATTTTGTTTCTTCCTGATAATGTCTGAAACGACTGACCCGTTGAAGCGGGATTTTTACTGGCGGGTACATAATATTGAAAGTGGGAGGCGGGCGAGCGCTCATTATGCTGTCAAATTGATAACCAAATTAAGCTTTATCTAGCAACTCCGTGAATTTGGTAAAAGACATAATAATTTTCCATCGAGCTGCCCAATATTTCTTAAGTTGGAGCAGAGGTGGGCATATTCGTATTATCCCTCAATGGCATTTTATACCGTTCGGGCATGCGTGCACATTTTGAGGGCTAGATGAGCGGATCATCGCGGACAAACATGAAGAGGGAATCGAGAGCAAGGTATTTTACCATTCCTTGTTTACAAATGAGAGCGCCCGTATATACGTTTCAAAATTCAAAAATTTGCACTAAGAACACATATTATTTCTCTATGTTTCACTAAATTTTTTTACGTTTTTTTATATTCAAATATACACTGTAAGCATTGAAATAAGCTCACATTTATTTTGTAATTTTTCAGCTAAATTTAGTAATAAAAATCACTTATCAAATTTGTGGCTGATAAGTTTAGAGTGTTTATATTTACGAGGAAAACCAGCTTTGCCATACCTTAAAAACCAAAAGTGAAGGATTCTTCAGCGTTTCACAGCGTTTTCTTTGTTTGTACTTTCGAGTGAGTTGAAGCTAAAATTGAATATGTGAATACTTTTTATATGTGATTTATTATATATTTATAAAAATATTCATATTTAATAAAGACAAATAAGTAAAATTGTGTGATAATATTATAATATTTATATAATTGTAATATAACATTTTTGTTCAGTCATCGACTAAAGCTCGCTCTGTGTAGACGTGTTTCGACTTATCTTTTGCGTATTTCGCACAGTACACATCCGTCTTACGTACACGTGTTTGCTTAGTAAATCTCTGTTTTATTATTATACCGCATATCGTTTTTCCTACAAGTGAATCGAGCGTGTAGATATAATAATCATGGCCCCCGGGCCACCCAACCTCGGGAATAACAGCTTTGCTTTGCTTGCCTCGGAATCCCATCCAAAAAGAAAGAAACCCTCATACACGMCCCTTAATTTTCCCGACTTGCCTCAGTCTAGGAAAGAAACCCTAAATTTATTATTGTTAGTGCTTCAGATTCAACGAAACCTATCTCTAATTATTCTTGTTTCGCCGTACATAARGCATTAGAAGCTATTAGTAAAGAAATTATTTCGATTTCTGAATTACGTGCTGGCAAGGTTCATTTCAACTATAAAGCTACATGGTGTGTACGAAATTGTTATAAAATATCATGACAATCTTAATAGCGTAAAAGGTACAATCAATGCACCCTGCCTAAACAATGTCAGTGAAAAAGAAATGATTGAAGATATGAGTAACCAAGGCGTAGTCGGAGTGTAAAAATTTTCGAAAACTGCGGAAGGATTTTCACAATTCACTGGAGTTGTGCTACTTACTTTTGATCTGTTCGAGCTACCAGAAAAAGTTGACGTTTCTGGCGTAGCGCTAAAGTGAAACCCTACTACCCTAACCCAATGCTGTGCAAAACTTGTCAACGGCTTGGTCACACCGCYAAACACTGCAAAAATGCGCCCGTATGTATGTCATGCAATCTTCCCCCCATCCTCCCCCATGCTCTCGCACGCTCTGTGCAAACTGCTCTGGTAACGACCCGTCATCTGCCAACACGTGCCCGAAATACACGCAAACGAAAGAAATACTTAAAATAAAATGTCAAAACAAATGTTCAATGCGCGAAGCACTTAAGCTTTACAAAGCACAAATACCATCGATGCTTAACTCCTCTTTCGCCGAGGCAGCTAAAGAAGCACAAAAATBRAATAATAACCCTACTCAAAGCTCCAAATCTCTAATCTCACCACCCATCTCATTAAACAAATCATCGATTACTACTTCATCTGAAATTTCTTCTGTTAACCCACCTCAAATAATTTCTTCTTTACCTAACCACTCACCACAACAATCAACAACCTAACAATGCCTTAGTTTCCTCTTTTACACCTCTTCCGCAGACTCTATTACACACTCCCTTCAATCTCGAATCTACACTCGGAAACATCATTTCGCCAGCTTATCAAAACAAAACAGAAGCAGACGCTTTCATGAAAGAGAGAGCTGACACCTCAATTGTCAATCTCTCTTTAAACCAACCTATACCTCATCATAATGAAAACAACTCGAAAGAGCAATTTATGTATATAGACGAATGCAATTATTAACATACATACATATTTGTTATCATAGCATATTAATTTTGTCACAATCCCTCTCCCGCTCTCAATGTTTAAGATCCTACAGTGGAATATGCACGGTTACCTCAACAATTACACGCAACTAGAATTTCTGTTGAAAGAACATTCGCCAAACGTTGTCTGTCTCCAAGAGACTAATATCGCTGCTGATAAGTCAGCAGCTTCGCCCCATCAGTACCAAAGCTATTTTTACAACTTGCCTCAAAACAAAACTAACAAGCARGGCATTGCAGTTTTGATAAAAAAATCGATACCCCATAGACAAGTTGCCATTATTTCAAATATTGCCACAATTGCAATAGAAGTTTCACTATCTTTCAAATTTACTATCGTGGCCCTMTATATACCACCTCTACAAAACTTCACATGCAGCGAACTAAGAAACATTTTGCGATCAGTTTCTACTTCATTCGTTATAGTTGGGGACTTTAACGCCTGGAGTCCCCTTTGGGGATCAACTCTTTGCAACAACCGAGGTGCTATCATCGAAGATATGATATTTTCAGAAAACCTCACTTTACTTAACKACAACAAACCGACTCACTTTTCCACACACAAAACTTTTACCTCTGTTGACCTTACATTATGTTCCTCCAACATCGCCCCTAAACTAACTAGCAATAYCCDYCCCCACCTCCACGGCAGCGACCACTTCCCTATTCTTACTATTTTACGTACTCCGTCAGTCTTTAAGGCCCAACCCATTCCAAAGCTCCTAACAGATATAGCGAACCGGGAAAAGTTTCAACATACTGCCAGCGACCTTTGCGAAAAAT